TTCGGAATTCCCGCTTTTTTTTTGAAGTACATTTTCATCTTGGCAACGCCTATATGAAGAAACATGAATTTATACCTCCTCAAGGCTGTGATCTAGCGGTGCCAGGCGACAAGCTTTACTCCTCAGCGACAAGGAAAATGTACCGTGAGTGGCCAGGCTGTGCAAACTCCTTTTTAAGTCTGAGTTTGGCTATAAAAGTAAACACCACTTATGGTAATTTTCCTCCTCTTTGTTTTCTTGTGTTGTTTTGACGTTTACAAAGCAAAATAGCAAATTCAAACTGTTAAAATCTTTTGCCCTCCAACGGTCTGCATGCTTAATAATATGGCAGGCATTCCTTGGAATCGAGGAACTGGTGCAAGTGTTTTGCCGTTCATTGGACAGGAGATGTGAGTAACAAGAAATTTGGAAGCGGTAAGCAAGATACATTTTCAGATTTATTCATGCATGTGACAAGAAATTCATCAAGGTAAATTGGAAACCAACGTTTTACTGTTCACTTCTATAAGTTATGAGAGTAAACATGTGCCTGCTCAATCGATGCTTGTCTTCTGCTTCCGCGGTCATATGTTTGTGGTTTATTTACGAACTACAATAGTCCACAGCAATAGCGCTTTCAAGGAACTCACTCTACTCTTTCTACTCCAGAAATCCCACCTGTGAAATCCCCCATGCATTCGGATTTCTAATCGTAAATACTCCCCATGCCCTCAGAATTCCATAATAGTGAACCTCCCTCCCCTTTGGAAATCCTTAAAGCCGTCCGTGGTATAGGAATGGATATTTTCTGGAATCACCCATTGATAATTACTACTTACTGTATGAATAAAAGAGGATTTCATTGCGTGCTGTCGCACACTGTCTTTTCACCAATTCTCCTCTTCCCCTGGCTACATTCTTCTCTCTCTTTCTCCTCCATATTACCCAGGCTCCTTGCACATTTCTTTTCTTCTTTTTTTTTATTGTGCCCCTGTCGGTCTTAATTAAACCCCTTACCTTTAGCATATCTCTCGCTTACCAGTCCAGGGTTCGAAATTAACTTTTTCGTTCAGGAGCCAGCTGGCGACTAACAGGAAAAATTTGGTCGCCAACTTATTTTATATATAACTCACATGGGAACACTAACATGATTTTGTACATTACTTTGCATGCAAGAACGTAACAAATGAAGAGCTAAAACTTTTGAAAATAGCACGAGTAGTAGTAGTAGTATAGTAAAGATACCATTGTTCTCAGATTATAGGGAGCTTAAGCACACGCGTTTTTGAGACGCGGACGGCAACCGGAAGAGAAGATTTCGCATGCTTAGACCGCATTGTCCCCCAGATTTTTATACTACTCATCTCTAATGAAGAAAAGATACTTAGCAATGTGAATATGGTTGAGTGAGGACAAGTTTAAAGTGAAAAAAGCTCACTTTCGGTTACCGTCCGCGTCTCAAAAACGTGCGTGCTTAAGTTCCCTGATGTTTCTGGTTCACAGGTGATGGTTTTCTTCTAAGTTATTTTAAATGGAGCGAAGCACAAAAACTTTTACGTCCATGGTTTTCGTAATGACACAAACACGGGTCCTTTTGTATTTCTTCAAAACGCAGTTCTTTATTTTCGTCGCCTTTCGCCGCTGATAAACAACACTGTGCTTGGTCTAGGCTCCTACACAACTGATCACATCTGCTGCCATTGTTCTCGTGTCAACTGAAAAGCGTACGGTGTTGTAGTGTACCTGCGATCCCAGTTTTGGAAGAGGCCGCTGAAACAATATGGCGCTTGGTAAACGCAGTTTCGACGTGTCGAAGTAATTTTGACGATTTTCTTGTAATATTCAGACATTATTTTAGTGGGGATGGAAAGGTGAATTGCCTACTAGCTACCAGATAATTTCCCTATCTAAAGATTTAAAAACAAAAGTTGTGTTGTGGTCATCTTTACTTATCGTACAAATTGCGAGTCGCCAGCTGCTCAATTTTTGGTCGCATTGGCGACCAATGAGTAGCAATTTCGAGCCCTGCAGTCTCACTTCTATACCACTACACTACGAGGTTCAGTTGAGAATTATCCCTAGGAAAATCATTTTTATTTCACTTGACTCACTAATATTCCAAAAAATTTACATTACAATTCACTTATTCATCTGTTTAAGCATGTTTCACGCTGCACGAAAACATGCATTGCATTTTTTAACAAACTAGGTCCCTGGTGAGTTTCCGGTTTCTTCTTCGTAGCGTTCACTTGAAAACTGACCCGATGCTACAAGAGTAGGCTCACGGTATTAAGTTTACGTCAAAGCCCTTTTCACCCTGTGAAAACGTCTTTGTAATCTTCTCGATTGTTGAATGCTCTTCCTCTTAACAGTGAAGATGCCTTCCTTTGCTTTATACCAGCTGTTCACGAAAGGAATACAGTCGATAGATACTGATACAGCGAACATCAAACCTGCTCGCATTTTCTGTAACATGGGCTCGAGAAGGATGGATACAACGAACTTCAGGAATTTCATCGCTAGATGACTGTTCGTGTTCCCTCAGCGTTGAAAGAAACAAAACTCAAATGAAAGGTTACGGGTTTTCGCAAATACGAGACCACACAACCGAGATAAGGAAATGGTTTACTGCACTGGATTTTCTTTGATTTACAGAATCAAAATACAACATTTTCTAGCTAACCGCAAGCCGCCTTTGCTTAGGCCTCAATCAAGCTTTTTTAAACCAGCGCATAGGTCTAAATCGCTATTTTATGCAGTTTTAAGCCTACACTCAGTTTAAAAATACGGTAAATGTGCCCAAATTATGATATTTCGTTTCCGTTTTGCGTACTTTAGACCTTAAATTGAAGTCTCAAAGAAATCGTTTCGTTTTTCCTTATTTTAGAGAGAAAATTCGAAAAAAGTATGCGAAATTTAGACTTATTCAAAGCGGATAAGTCTCAAAGGTGCGCTATTGTTTCGGCTATTGTTTAGTTAAACAAAGAACTGTATGCATAATAAATGTATGGGGTTATAAGGAAATCTTGTCCAGAATAGTCCTCGGTTTAATTACAACGACGTAAATACAGATCATTCACATCATTCGATCGATAAGTTTCACTCAGGCACCCTGGGTTTCACTGGACCCAAATCCATACTTTTCGTAACATGCTTACCTGAAATAAGAATGAATCGATGAAACATCACATCTTGAATAGAAATCCCACGGTCTGGGACCTGTGAAGATGACAAGAACGCTCATAAATGATAACAGTTTCTTACAAAGTATGAATCGAAAGTACAGCAATTTCGAAAGCGGAAGTGGTCTTAGCGTTCTGCATAGATCAACGAGTCGTTATAGACTAAAGAAATACAACCGTACCGTAAAAATGTGCAAATGAATGTTTATAAACTAACCACGCAACAACATAACTTAATTGTTCCTCAATTTTACTCCTTTGGAAAGGAAAATGATGTCTATCGCAATGTACCACCACACCTCGTAATCTGAGCATAAATCAAGCCCAAGAATGTCCCAGAAGGCCCAGCGCACTACACCGATACCATCTGGAATGGACTTCTGAATCCTGGATTAATCATCATTCTAACCAAACTATTTTATACTAGTGATAACCAAATGTTAGGAAATGCGGGTGAGGAGGATGCTTAGTGCTTTGGGTTACTAAAAATGTGTCAGAGTTGTTCTATGTTGTAAAAATATAAAATTTCATGATACACTAGTTTTGTCGTTTTGTTTTGTTTTGTTTTGTTTTACTGAAATGCTGTAATGTGTTTTTTTTTTTGCCACAAAGGCTTATACATAGATCATTTGTTTGTCGCGCTTTGTCACCCTATACTCAACTTTACAACTCCAAGGACGAAAGCAGATCACAACTCGCTCGACTCCAAGGACGAGAACAGATAACAACTTGCTCGAGGCAGACTTCAAACGCGACATGAACACTGAACAGGAAACTTCCCAAGTTAACATGCTTTTATGCTTGAGTTTCACGTGATCCAAGGTCCAAATACACGTGATGCGCGTGATAAAATCGCTTTCTTTGTATTCCATACATTCTTAGTGGAAGTCCACCCGAATAAAGAAAAATTCGAGTCAGGGCCAAACTAGACAAGTTTTCATCGGTTGCTGCTCTTCTTTTGACATCATAGCAAGAACTGAGTATTCTTTAAAACTGTTTCTTTCCATTTTCAATCTTTTAAATGTACATTAACACTTCAATGATGCAAAACNGTTTTCATCGGTTGCTGCTCTTCTTTTGACATCATAGCAAGAACTGAGTATTCTTTAAAACTGTTTCTTTCCATTTTCAATCTTTTAAATATACATTAACACTTCAATGATGCAAAACGTTGGCTTTGAAGATCTAGCACACTAGCCGACTCGGCGGCCATCTTTTAAATTATTCTTGTTCGAGAGGAAATGGATTCTGATCGTTTACGAGGATTTATCGATCGATTTTGGCGGAACAAATTTGCTCCAAAATCGAGATATGGCGTGCAAAATAGGTTGCGGGCTCTTCTTGAGCCCGCAATAAAAAAGTACATAACAGAGGGTGAAGCGTCGGGTCTGAAACGAGTTAGTCCAGAAAGAGCCTTTTTCCCAATTTTGCTATTTAGTTCTTCCATGGATGTAACCATGGGTGTTGCGTAATTGTCTAAGAGGAGATGAGCCATAGCCTTTCCGGCAGTGTGCATGTAACACCATGATACCTCCAGTCAATGTTACCTAAACGGGCTATCAGCTCACGACTGTCCCAGACCGGAATAGGATAGGTTAAGACTTGTGAGCCGTGGATTAATAATCATCCTTATTATATGGCTGTGTCTCACAAGGACTGGGAACTACCGAATTTACGAATTTGATTGGCTGAGATCGAT